TCACACCACTAAGCATGAATGAAACGACTAGATTTCTATGTTTTCTGAAGAAAATGTATGTTGCCCATGCTGAAGTCACCAACCCATGTCCATTCCTGTTTCTGGAAGGCCACTTTCCTGCAGAGTTTAGCTCCAGACCTAATTAAACAAACCTGTACCAGCTGATCAAGGTCTTCAGGATTTCTAGCAACTTCTGTGCTGGCGTGTAGGAGCTAAACTCCCTCCAGGAGCAGGACTGGACACCCCTGTGTTAGGATGTTGTGGATGGTTACCAGGGTGTTGCTGTATGGTTGCTAAGGTGTTCTGAATGGTTATTAGCACATGGCTATGCAGTTGCTAACTTGATAGAGTGTTGTGGGTGGTTGCACGTTGGTTCCTTTCAGTCCCAAGCCAAAAGAGCAGATTCAGTTCACCATGATTCATTTTGTTATTCCAGAAGTTTCAAGAACTGTATGTTTTTCAGGAAAAATAATTTAGAGTTAGATTATTTGGTATCACTTTACTAAAAAGGTTCCATTTGTTAAGATGAACATCGAACAATACTTCTAAAGCATTTATTAATCTTACTTAATGTTAATTTCAACATTAATGCATTATTAAAATCAAAAGTTGTCTACTAATATTTAATGGACCTGAGCTACAGTAACATGATTTAATAATGCACATGTATTTTTATTAAGTAATGTTAACAAAGATTAATGAACACTGTAACAAATGTGTTGCTCATTTTAGTTAATATTAATGAATTAACTAACGCTGACTAATCGGGCCCGTATTGTAAAGTGTTAATGATTATTTTAATATATTAATAGCAGTTTTTTAATTTAAATAAAGTCAAGCTGGAACTTTGCTGAGGCCCCCTAGTGGCCCCCGACGTCATGGTTGAGATCCCAGGTCACTCCATAAAATAATTTTATGAGATTGTTTTGCTCAGTTGCTTGTCTGTTCATTTGTTTGTCTTCCACTGAAAATATGTGGGAAATCTTCACCAGACTGATAGCATTCAATAACGGGTGGGAGACTTTAGAAAAGAATGCTATTAGTATATTACTCGACTGCAAACAGATCTTGTCTAATGCTTGGTGGTTTCCCAATGCCAACCACTTTTAAACCTCAAACCAAGACTGCATGTCTGGTTTAGCCTCAGATTGGATGTTCAGCTGCTGACTGCTGATGTGGGCAAGAAGTGACACATTCCTTCCCTCCTCATCACTGTCAGAGGAATAGCTTGAAGGATAAAATGAAACCACATTAAAAGTGAAACTTCCTACAAAAGACCTTAGTTGCTTTGAAACAGCTATACTTTCTATTCTATTGTTCTGTATTTCTCCACACGTAAGCTCTATACTTCTTTACTGTGGTAGAAGTGCCTTGAAAGAATCCACTCCGTAATGGCACATGGATGCATACCGATGCATGCTGAAAAGGGCCCGCAGCTGATTGCTTCAATCACAAAAATGTGCATACATCCCCAAGGATCGTGATTTTGTGGCTATAATCTTGTTAAGATCCCAGTTCTTGTTTTTTGTTTGTTGTAATATTGTACCATGTGGTGAGTTGCCAAATTTTAATACTGTAGTTACAGCAAAGTTGAAAACCTTTCCCACACAAGCAGATGCATTATATTTAGACACTATGTTTAGAATGTAAGGTTTGTTCATATAGTGCCTTTTGCTTTCAAGAAATGCAGTTTTCCTCATCTCTGTGCCCATCAGTGACCAGTTGACAACACACTTCACCCTAGTGAAAAATAAACATACTAAAATGTATTTGAAATACATTTATTTCATGCTTAGTATACTACAAATACATTTACATATTTATGTACTTAATAAAAAAATACAGTTTTTTTATTTTTTAACTGCAGTTGTACTTTTAGTATACTAAACTGTATACGTAAAGTCTGCTAATTTTGTACTTAATGCACTTTATTTGTGCGGAAGTAGTGCTGAAGTCCAACTAAAGGTATACTGAAGTATATTTGATTGTGCTAAAGTGGAACTATTGCAAGTATACTTTAGGTACATTAAATATCTTACATTTAAAGACCGATATTATTCAAAGACCATACAGTCCTCATCAATAGTGATGTTAAAACACATTTTAGGCTTAATATTAAGAAATGTGCATTGTGCACAAGTAGTACTCCAAACAAAGTTTAATTATAATTTTTATTTCAGTAAGTCTCGAGCGATGTAATAGATTTGAACTATACTTAGTATGAAATAAATGTATTTGAAATATATTACTTTTTTTACTAGGGCACTTTTTATTGTTATAATGTATTTTATTTGTATTTTCTGGCATATAGGAATATTGACTTCACAGCTTGAACATCGCACTAGATAATTTAGAGGTTTGAGGCATACAGGATGTGAGCTCACCTAGTTCCTTATCTTCCTTTAAGCTATATGGAATAACTTTTTAACTAACAGAGTAACATCTGCAAACATCAATAAAAAAGGCTTGTGTTCAGCTGTCCAGTCACATAATAGATCACCATTATAGAGATATAATAAGTTTAAGAGCTTTTTGCCTCTACAGGACAAGTGAGAGGGGACCAGAATTGGTATGTGAAACATATCATAACTCCTTAGGCTCTTCATATTATGTTAACTAACCACTGTGCCACAGCTCTAACAATATAAATTTTTTTAATGCTGCTAATAATTATTTCTTAGTAATAGCAGCTTTAACTGGCCTCAGAGCAAGCACGGTCATGTGTATGCTTATCTTCAGTCTTGTTTTATATTGGAATACTTCATAATGGGGGCCTGATTGAGTGGTTATATTTGGCCAGTCTTCACCCTTGAAATGCAGTCACAGCCGGGCTCTTCTCTGGAAACACCCATATGCATCAGTCTTATATTGAAGGGTTTTTAGCTCTTTGAGCCCCAATATGTGTGTGTGCTGCATTTGAGGGGCCAATATCAGATGAACTTTCTCTGGTCTGTTGAGTCAAAGAGGAGTAAGTTGCCAAATCACACTTCACACAATCACACTTTCTGCTGTCAATACTTGTTCCTTACCTGCCCTTTTATAAGCAATGCCTTGAATAATTCTATCAATAAATTGCTCTGTACTCTGTAAAAAGACAGTTTAAATGCTGTATTGTGTCGCCCCCGTTTGGTCAGCAGTGAGAATTACTAGTGGTTATGACAATGAAGTCAAGTCATTTTACTACTCTTACTATGCTATTCTTTGACATTTCAAATTTGTTCTACTACAACGCACAAAAATAAATACTACAGATTATATATAACTTTATTTTATTTCTGTATATATTTTCTATTTTTTCTAACACTCAAATTGAATGACTGAAATTTCTTCAAAGTTGGGTAAAAAGTGCACGAGTAGAGTTTTTTGTGTTTATTTGCATTCCCTCATGTACAGTCACGAACATCCTCATCCTGTAAATTAA